AAATTTTACAAGTGTACTAAAACTACAATGTTTTCATCCAAACATGCACAAAAATTTTCATATATGAAATCTCGCTTCTGACGTCACAGTTCAACGTCGCGGGAAGGGGAAATATTAAAAAGCATTTAGAAATCCATTGGATGTCGAGTGGATATTGTTGGGATCGATTTTATTGTATATAATTACGTCTTTAGGATGTCCTTAGGATATCCGGGTTTGGATCGCGTATAGAGATCTTATAAGCGGACATAGGGACGTCCTCAGTATATCCTTAGTATGTTCTACCGATTTTCACGGATATACCTGGGATGTTTGAAAATCCCTTTAGATATATCCGGTGGACATACTTGGGATCAACTTTTGCTGTGTGGGACGTGGTAGATAAAATCAAACAAACAGAATTAGTATACCAAATCAAGTGCACCTCATGTGAAGCATTTTATGTAGGGCAAACAAAACGACATTTGCAAACTAGAGTCAAGGAACATCAACGAAATATTAGAGGTTCAACTGCTGGCTTCTCGGTTGTTTCAAATCACCGCATGGATAAGGGTCATGATTTTGATTGGCGAGATCCACAGATATTACATAGAGAAAAGAATGTACGTAAAAGAGAGATAGCGGAGATATTCTACATAAAGAAAACTAATGCGAATATAAACCTGCAAAAAGATACAGAGAATTTAAACGTAATATATGATAGCTTGATAAAATTTTTAAACTAAGAACTTCGAAGTAACTTTTATCTTAATTTATACTATTTATTTATTTATTTATTTATTTATTATTTTTCTTTTTATCCCCTTTGACTCCGGTGTTATGATAGCTTGATAAAAAAAATTTTGAACTAAGAACTTCGACGTAACTTTTATCTTAATTAATTAATTAATTTATTATATATATTTTTCTCTTTTACCCACATTGACTCCGTTTTCGGTCCATAGCATTATATAATTTTAATAAATTTCAAAATGTTAGTCTTATACCCCGACGGACACTTTTTGTCTATAGAACGTATTTATTATATATGCTTCTTTTTAACCTTTTGACTCCGGCTCCGGTTTATTAGTTATGTACTTATTTATTGCCATGTTCTCTGTATCTCCTTCACACCATTGTCAGACTTCAGTCCTACTTTGAGTGTTACATCGGATGGACGTGCCGTCTAACACAGTTCTCCATGTGATGCCCAGAAATGGAAGTGAAGCTGTTCTTTAATTTTTGATACTAATGGCGTAATATTGTAAGTTTACAGAAAATAATTCACGACATTCATTTTTACTTATCCTTGACTTTGTTTCCCAATTGACACGACTGTAAGATGCGTCTTGTTTTGTAAAATAATTATAGATTGTTGAATTCCCTGAAAAGGACCACAACCCGCATGGTCGAAACGTCGGATTAAATGAATAAATAAACCATCTGCCAGCCTAAGTCGTCTAACAATTCTTTTTATCGTTGAACATTCACTGGCGATTCACATTCTAAAGTTGTCATTTATTTTTGGTCCAAATAAGATTCGTCGGACGTCTGATGGACATCCATATCACATACGTTTGACACAACTTCGAACATCAATAAAATATCTGAAATAAGACTGTTGTCGAATCTGTTTTGGACTTATTTTGGATTATCTTGGATGTATTAACGATATCCAAAATAAATCTAAAATAGGTCGAAAGCGGTATGATTTTGGACATATCATGTACATAATTTTTGGGATATACATATATATTCGCGGATCTAATAAAAAAATTTATTTAAAAATAATAAAACAATTGATTATTTAAATATAAACATTTATTGGCTCTTGAGTTTGATACCGAAAATACTGTTTTGTTAATACATAATAATATATAATAATCTTTATATATTATAAATTTATTTTTATACGTACATATATATATTATATAATGTACAAAAGTTTAAATATTGTATACAGGATGTCGGGTAAAGGTTGTGCCAAAACACTCGTGAACAGGTAGAATACAATAAATTGAACAGAAAAGTCTTATATTATTTTGTAAATTCGCAATAATTATTGTGTTATTAATTAAGATATTTAAGCCGATGAGTGCATTGAAAGTGCTAGTTTTTGGAATCGGTAGGCATCATAGACAATAGAATTAATAGATAGGCCACAAAGATAATGGCAGGGGTCTATCTATTCTATTATAATATATATATTATCCATGATGCCTACCGATTCCGAACTACCGCTTTCTATGCGTCCATTGGCTTAAATACTTAAAATAATCACACAATTAATTAATAACACAATTGTTACCCGACAATCTGTATATTTAAGGACAATAATAATATATATTAACTATAAAAGATAATAATATATAAAAATCTAACATATGTATGGTTTATTTATATAAGATATATTTATACATAAGATATTATATATCAAAGAAATATCATTTTTCATTGACTGGAAATATTACGCATTGAAAATCTTATTTAAAAACTAGAAATTAAATTGAACATTTTGTTACGGAGGAAACATTAAGTATCACATACGTACATATTATAAAATAAATCTTAACAACTTAAAAAACTTTGATTGCTTACAAAATTATTATTACACATATGTGTTCTATAGATATACAGTGTACCAAAAGTTGGAAACGGTCGAATATTTCATAAACTATGCATTTTAGAAAGAAATGTTTCAGACGAAAGTTGTTTGGTTCGAAAAGTGACATAAGATGGTGTCATTGGATTGATCTTGAGTGAATGTGCCAAGGTTATATGGAGCTCAACTTTGATTTTTTAAATAGAACTCCCTATTTTTCATTGCATATTCTTGTAGCTTACCTCGATGGCTTTTCAAAACACTATAATTAAGTGCCTCTTCATTCAGTACTTTTCGAGTTATGGAGCTTGAAAGTCACAGTACCGTCGGCATTAGCATTACCCAAGGTGTACAGCGTGGAGGTTGCACGGTCAGATTTACATCACTTGCGCGCGCGCGTAATAGGTGAATCCGACCGTGCAATCTTTAACCGACCTGCAAACCGTTAACAAACACCGGCCGACGGCTAAATCTTCTTGAATGTCACTCAGGATCATGACCATGACAACTTATGTCAAGGTCATCAAGATTGGAGGGTGGTCCGTTATAGTACATAATTACTAAATATATGTATAAACAATATACTAAAATTTTTAGAATCTTTGAACATGATACTACGGTTGGCAGAAGAATACTCATCTCCTTTTCAATTTTGGTTGGGCAGCAACTTATTCATTGGAATATATGACCCACAACAGGCAAAAGTAAAGGAAAATCATTCAGTTTAACCTAATGTTTCTATTATCTTTTCATAAATAGCTATTTTAAATGATTTTCTACATATATATTTTATACATACATGCATATGTAATGTACATATCTTTATAATTAACTTTAACTAATCACAAATTGGTTCATAATTGATGAAATATGTATATATTTATTACACGAATGAAACAAACATGCGCACTTTTCCACAAATGTAAAAACGTTAATTTATAATGTTTTAGGCTATCTTACACGGCAGAAATTGCATAGATAAAAGTATAATTTATAAGCTTTTCAAACCATTATTTGGTATGGGATTATTTACTGCTCCTGGTAAGATATCATATCTACAAAAGTACTAACAATAAAACTAATAGCTTTTTTGTAACTATGCAATTGGTTACTTTCTTTATAATTATTAATTTTAAAAAAGCTTTTAGATTTGTTCTAACATACTGTCAGAATTGTTTATATTCTAGTGTTACATTTATAAAGTATATGTATTTATTTTTATATTAAAGTTTACTTATATTATTTCTGAATCCTAATATTATTTAGCATTATTATACATATAATAATATTAATTGTTAGTTACGCCATAAATTTTCTAAAACATTTTTTAGCATCCATATGGACCCGATTAAGAAAAATAAGTGGACATACATTCCGTCCATCCATATTGCAGGATTTCTTCAAGATATTCGTTGAAGAATCTGATATACTTACAAATGAATTGAATGAGAATATAAATGAAGGAAAGGAAATAATTCTTATTGACATAATAACACAGCACGCTTGGGAAATGGCATGTCGTAAGGTTATATTTATATATAACCACTTAGAAGTACGCTGGATCAGCCGTTGTTGAGATCCAAAAATCTGAGGACCTGTCAACTCGCATATAATACTCGCGTAAACTACACGATCGGTCTCGCGCGCGCGTTCTAGCTACGCTTATACTAGGCGCGAGGCACTACTGTGTCTCGTGATTGTAATCTTTCTGCAGGCGGACTTTTTACCTGCAATCCTGCAGCAATATTGCAATATTTTGCATTATTTAGGCAATATATTGCAACCGTAGACATGGTAAATATAGACTGTGCGCTCCATTGAATAAGCTGAAGCTTGTAGAGAGAGAGAGAGAGAGAGAGAGAGAGAGAGAGAGAGAGAGAGATTTAAGAAAACTTTCTTTCTGTCTCATGCCATCGTAAAAGAAAAGAATCGTGCCTACGCAATATTACCCAGGCGTGATTCTCCCTTGTCACGATGGTGGGACAGAGAAAGAAAGTCTTCTTAAATATTCTCTGTCTCTCTCTTCACAAACTTCAGCTTATTCAATAGGACACACAGTCTATATTTACTATGTCTATGGTTGCAACCTTGCCGCGAAATGTTGCTACAATGTGGCTGAAATTTTACTGTGCTGTATGGGTTATATGATACGATCTAATTAGATATAATTAGAAATAATTTTATCTATTTATATGTGACTAAATCAGGTCAAAATTCATGTATAATTATGTTGCAATGTTACATGCAACATTTGACATAATGATATTTAAACTTTTTTTCCCGGAAAGGTTCAAATGTGCTATTAAATATATGAGATCACTGACCTCTGCAAGCAAATACTTATTAGTAAAGTCAAAAGATACACTGTTTTGAAGAAATTTGATAGCTCTTTGAGACTTGACAACATCACATATTTTTTTATATTTTTAAATGTGCATATATAATCTAGTATATCAATGCATTTGATCAATAATGTATTAAGTGTTACCTTTTTATGAAAAAAGTCATATGAATTTACAAAAATAAAAGGGGCCCTACCAAAGCACAACATTCTCACCGGTAATATCTCTTTTTTTAGAAAAGGATATATGCTACCATAATTATGCTACTTAATAAAAAATACGGAACCCACTTTAAATGTTTATAACTGTTCAATTATCAAACCGCGGTAACTCTACGAAAAATATCAGCAAAAAATTAAAAAAGAAAACTCTAAATCTATACTTCCATGCCTATAGCAATTTTTGAAAATACTTAATTTTCGTAGCTTTGTGGTTCAAAGAAATATAATAAAGTGGCTAAAGTTAAACAGTTTAAATGATTCAAATGTGTTCTCTTCTTTGTATAGTATAATATAAATAGAGTATAACATAAAATTAAATAATAAATGAATATTCTATATAAAATTCTATATTTATTGTATAATCAATAGTTCATTAATACTTCAAGTAGTAATATTTCTTTTATATGTTGTTATTATAAAGGTACTATGATGGGCATAAAGTTGGAACAAAAAAAAAACAAGGAATATGTCAAAGCAGTTCAAAGGTATAAATTTTTATATTCAGAATATATATAGAATTCTTTTAATTCCAAAATTTTATATTTCTGTGAAAAATCACATTTGTATGTATCAAAAAAATTTTTAGTAGGTGTATTTATTAATTTTTGTAAATTAATATTTATTATAAATAAACTAATATTGTTACTGAAGAAAGATGTTCTTTAGTACTGAAAAAACGATATCTCTTTCTATTTATAAAATTTTGAACCTTAAATAGTCGCAGTTAGTTCAATAATCTTTTATAACCTTATCTGATATATAAAAATTTTGATTTTATATAAAACCGTGTTTCAGGTTCAAACATAATTTTATGCAAAGAACAAAACATATATTATTATATTTTGATGGTACATTCTCTATTACTGCATTGGGCCGCAAACAGAAGAGAGCTACGGATTTAATAAATTCACTTGGCGATGAGGTAATGCTACCATAAATAGATTTATTAACATCTTGCACTATTTTATCCATTACATAATATATTATTACATAGATGATACAGCAGCTCAAACATGATCCCAATAATCTGAATACTACAGATGAAAATAACCGAACTCGTAAGTTTATTCACATTTCATATAAAAGTTATGAAAATGCTTTCGTTTGCAAAATGATGGCAATATAAATTGTTCGGAACTATTTAAAACAATATTAAATACTTTCTTTTATTAGTATACATTTCCAGAAAATTTTTTCTACTTTTTACTTTTAATTTTTATATAAAAGTGTAGTTTAAGTTTAAAATTAAAGTTTTCCAGCATATAATTAACAAAAATTATGTTCATATTTTAAATGCTTAGTTTAATTTAATATGTATATTTCTTTCGTTATATAGATAGAAATTTTTACCAAATTCTGACGAAAGCGTCGCAAGAAACGAACTTCACAGACGAAGATTTTCATTATAATATTATGACTATGTTGTTAACGGTACAAACAATGTTTTCTAATACTTATACAATAAATAAAAAACTATATATATAATGTTAAAGTGAATTTATATTTGCAGGCCAGTGACACAATTTCAACTGTAATCAATTTTGTGACGTTTATACTGGCAAATTTCCCCGAGATACAAGTAAGTATAAAATATATACAGGGTGTCGGATTCGATATGGACGACTCCAAAGATTATAGTAGATTGGGTTAAACTGAGAAGAAAAGTTATATACCATTTTACAAAATCCGTAATTATTATCGCATTATTAAGAAAAACGTCTGAGCCAATAAGTGCACGGAGGAGCGGAAGGCCGGACTCGGCAGACATGCAAAATGGTGTAACTGTTGACATCTCTCAAGAATCGATAGCGAGAGGTGGAGTCACGATCTCATCGATCGATGAGAGACGGGGGCGAGCGGGGAGCGGTGAGCGGGCGAACGGCGCGCAGCGAGAGAACGTGCGACATATGACAACGCGCCGAAAAAGTTTTTCTGGTGGTAGGAGAATAATACACC